TTTTTCAATGTTCTTTTGGATTTTATAATTTTTCGTTTATTCAATTTTTTACATTTTCCTTCTTTGCTTTTTTAAGTTCTTGATTTCCAATTTTTTTATTTTTTGAAGCTTTCACTTTGTATTTTTTCGTTTTTTCAGTTTTACAATTTTTCTATTCTATAATTTTTCGATTTTGTTTATTCGAAAATTTGAAAACTCGAAAAACTGGAAAATCGAGAAATTAAAAAAAATTGAAAAAAAAAAACGCAAAATCGAAGACTGAAAACTGAAAAATTGAAACAATGACAAACTAAAAACCGAGAAACTTAAAAATCTAAAAAAATTAATGAATCGAAGAATGGGAAAGAAGAAAAACCATTCGAATTGAAAAATTGGAAAATCCAAAAATTGCAAAATCGAAAAATTATAGAATCGTGAAAATTGTAAAATCCAAAAACTGTGACATTGAAAGATCGAAAAATTGAAAAATTCCAAAAACGAAAAACTTAAAAAGTGAACAACTTTAAAAATTATAATTAATATTACGTAATTAAAATGAAAACTAGAAAAACTGCAAATGAAAAATTAAAGAAACGGAAAATTGAAAGCCGCAAATTGAAAAAATAAAGAAAATTAAAAACCCACACGAAAAATTGACGAAATTAAAAATTCAAAACTCGTGAAATTTGCAAACTCTAAAATTTGAATCATCCAAAAATTGGAAAATCAAAAACTGAAAAATCGAAATTTTGGAAAATCGAAGAACTGAGGAATTCAAAACTGAAAAAAGATCGAGAATTCAAGATGTCGAAAAATTTAAATATCTGAAATTTAAAAAACAGAAAAATTACAATACCGAAAAATTAAAAGTAAAGAAATTAATACGTCAAAAAATCCAAAAATTTGAGATTAAAAAAAAACACAAAATTAAAAAGTCGAAAAATCGAGAAATTGAGAAATGGAAAAATGAAAATTTAGAGACGCCAAAGATTGAAAATCATCAAAAAAATTTCTTAATATACACATTATTCTTTGAAGAACACGATACTGAAAAACATGTTTATAATTTCTTGTAAAGAAATAAGTATTTTGCAGTTAAGCTCCGCCCCCTTAGTTTACGGCGAATAAAAAAAATCATCACAATTGAGATCGGGCGGGTGGGCGGGCCAATTTTCATAATTTCGATTTTACAATAATTTTCGTGTTTTCGACCGCAATTTTTCGATCTTTAAGTTTCTCAATTTTTAATCTTTCGATTTTTGAATTTTCCGTTTCTTCAATTTTTCAAGTTTTTAGATTTCTCGAAGCTTTCATTTTATACTTTTGCGTTTTTTCATTTTGAGGTTTCAATTTTACAATATTCCTATTTTATAATTTTTCCATTTTGTTTATTCGGAAAGCAGAAAATTTGAAAAATTGAAAAATCGATAAAACGGAAAATTGAATGGAATTTGTTTTTATGATTTTTTAAGCCTCGATTTTTTTAATTTTTTAATCTGTGTTTCAATTTTTCGATTTTTGGAATTTTCTATTTCTCATATCTCGGTTTATCGATTTTTTTAGCTTTTCGATTTTTCCGTTTATTCTTTTTTTAAGTAAACATTTCAACTTTGAATTTTTCAATTTCGGCCCATTTTGATTTCTCGATTTTCCGGATTTTCGATTTTCCAAGTACATATTTTTAATTTTTTTAATTTTTCATTTTTTCCATTACCTTTATTTTTTCAATGTTGTTTTGGATTTTATAATTTTTCGTTTATTCAATTTTTTACATTTTCCTTCTTTGCTTTTTTAAGTTCTTGATTTCCAATTTTTTTATTTTTTGAAGCTTTCACTTTGTATTTTTTCGTTTTTTCAGTTTTACAATTTTTCTATTCTATAATTTTTCGATTTTGTTTATTCGAAAAGTTGAAAACTCGAAAAAATAGAGAAATAAATAAAAATTGAAAAAAAAAAATTGCAAAATCTAAGACTGAAAACTGAAAAATTGAAACAATGAAAAACTAAAAACCGAGAAACTTAAAAATCTAAAAAAATTAATGAATCGAAGAATGGGAAAGAAGAAAAAGCATTCGAATTGAAAAATTGGAAAATCCAAAAATTGCAAAATAGAAAAATTATAGAATCGTGAAAATTGTAAAGTCCAAAAACTGTGACATTCACAGATCGGAAAATTGAAAAATTCCAAAAGCGAAAAACTGAACAACTTTAAAAATTATAGTTATTATTACGTAATTAAAATGAAAACTAGAAAAACTGCAAATGAAAAATTAAAGAAACGGAAAACTGAAAGCGGGTATTTGAAAAAATAAAGAAAATTAAAAACCCACACGAAAAATTGACGAAATTAAAAATTCAAAACTCGTGAAATTTGCAAACTCTAAAATTTGAATCATCCAAAAATTGGAAAATCAAAAACTGAAAAATCGAAATTTTGGAAAATCGAAGAACTGAGGAATTCAAAACTGAAAAAAGATCGAGAATTCAAGATGTCGAAAAATTTAAATATCTGAAATTTAAAAAACAGAAAAATTACAATACCGAAAAATTAAAAGTAAAGAAATTAATACGTCAAAAAATCCAAAAATTTGAGATTAAAAAAAAAACACAAAATTAAAAAGTCGAAAAATCGAGAAATTGAGAAGTGGAAAAATGAAAATTTAGAAAAGCCAAAGATTGAAAATCATCAAAAAAATTTCTTAATATACACAGTATTCTTTGAAGAACACGATACTGATAAACATGTTTATAATTTCTTGTAAAGAAATAAGTATTTTGCAGTTAAGCTCCGCCCCCTTGGTTCACGGCGAATAAAAAAAATCATCACAATTGAGATAGGGCGGGTGGGCGGGCCAATTTTCAATATTTCGATTTTACAATAATTTTCGTGTTTTCGACCGCAATTTTTCGATCTTTAAGTTTCTCAATTTTTAATCTTTCGATTTATGAATTTTCCGTTTCTTCAATTTTTCAAGTTTTTAGATTTCTCGAAGCTTTCATTTTATACTTTTGCGTTTTTACATTTTGAGTTTTCAATTTTACAATGTTTCCATTTTGTTTATTCGGAGAGTAGAAAATTCGAAAAATTGAAAAATCGGTAAAACGGAAAATTGAATGGAATTTGTTTTGATTTTTTAAGCCTCGATTTTTTAAATTTTTTAATCTGTGTTTCAATTTTTCGACTTTTGGAATTTTCTATTTCTCATATCTCGGTTTGTCGATTTTTTTAGTTTTTCGATTTTTCCGTTTATCCTTTTTTTAAGTAAATATTTTAACTTTGAATTTTTCGATTTCGGGCCATTTCGATTTCTCGATCTTTTGAAGTCTCAAGTTTTCGATTTCGATTTCTTGGTTTTTCGATTTTCCGGATTTTCGATTTTTCTAGTACATACATATTTTTAATTTTTTTAATTTTTCATTTTTTCCATTACCTTTATTTTTTCAATGTTGTTTTGGATTTTATAATTTTTCGTTTATTCAATTTTTTACATTTTCATTCTTTGATTTTTTAAGTTCTTGCTTTCCAATTTTTTTATTTTTCGAAGCTTTCATTTTGTACTTTTTCGTTTTTTTCAGTTTTACAATTTTTCTATTTTATAATTTATCGATTTTGTTTATTCGAAAAGTTGAAAACTAGAAAAACTGGAAAATCGAAAAATTAAAAAAATTTGAAAAAAAAAATCGCAAAATCGAAGACTGAAAACTAAAAAATTGAAACAATGAAAAACTAAAAACCGAGAAACTTTAAAATCTAAAAAAATTAATGAATCGAAGAATGGGAAAGAAGAAAAACCATTCGAATTGAAAAATTGGAAAATCCATAAATTGCAAAATCGAAAAATTATAGAATCGTGAAAATTGTAAAGTCCAAAAACTGTGACATTAAAAGATCGAAAAATTGAAAAATTCCAAAAACGAAAAACTGAAAAGTGAACAACTTTAAAAATTATAATTATTATTACGTAATTAAAATGAAAACTAGAAAAACTGCGAATGAAAAATTAAAGAAACGGAAAATTGAAAGCCGCAAATTGAAAAAATAAAGAAAATTAAAAACCCACACAAAAATTGACGAAATTAAAAATTCAAAACTCGTGAAATTTGCAAACTCTAAAATTTGAAACATCCAAAAATTGGAAAATCAAAAACTGAAAAATCGAAATTTCGGAAAATCGAAGAACTGAGAAATTCAAAACTGAAAAAAGATCGAGAATTCAAGATGTCGAAAAATCTAAATATCTGAAATTTAAAAAACAGAAAAATTACAATACCGAAAAATTAAAAGTAAAGAAATTAATACGTCAAAAAATTCAAAAATTTGACATTAAAAAAAACACAAAATTAAAAAGTCGAAAAATCGAGAAATTGTGAAATGGAAACATGAAAATTTAGAAAAGCCAAAGATTGAAAATCATCAAAAAAATTTCTTAATATACACAGTATTCTTTGAAGAACACGATACTGATAAACATGTTTATAATTTCTTGTAAAGAAATAAGTATTTTGCAGTTAAGCTCCGCCCCCTTGGTTCACGGCGAATAAAAAAAATCATCACAATTGAGATATTCTTACATTTTGCCTTTTTGTTTTAAGTAGAAAATCCATATTTTCTAACAAAAATGTATCATTTTAACCATGTTCTAAATTTCTTGTTGTGAAAAGATGGCTGTGTATATTAAGGCAAAAAAAAAGAAAAGACAAAATATAAGTCCCGCCCACCCACCCTGCATATTTATCTTACAACGGCAACGTCAATGGTGAACAGCAACGTTAGCGACAAGTTTATAAATCAACCTTTAGTGTGACAAAAAAATTGTGACGATTTTTAGAAATAATAAGACTCCAGAAGGGTTGTAGAAGTTTGCAGTGAGTTGAAAATGAGGAAATGTATTAGTTTTTGTTTTTTCTGGGGTTTGTCTTACTATTGAGTTAAAGTGTGACAATTTTTTAACAACTGCTAAAACCTAGTGACGTTTCTCTTCGTTGCTAAGCACAACTCCCTGAAATGCCTCTACTGTTACCTATTGCTGAACCCACAAGTCACAAGCAGATTTCCTTGCACATCAAAATCACTCAAACTGCCGCTGTGCGTTTCTAAAGTGTGCTCAATGTTCAAGGTGTTTGGATCCCTAAGGTCAATCCGTCCCAGTGGATTCCCCGCGCACACAAACCTACTGTGCGGCCGCAACATCACGCACCCAGGCTCCCCTACATCAAGCTGAAGTTTTTGAGGTTATGTGTGAATTCAAAACTCAACCAAGCACTTACAACTTGCATTTCCTTACACAAATCAATGTTAAAATCGATCATTTTCCCGTGGTGTCCGCCCATCAGTAACCTCGTCGCCCCCAGTTGGAGCATACACTGCATCTCATACATGTTGGCCGAACTGCAAACATGCCGTTACGAAAATTCCTCAAACAGCGATCGACTCACGTGTGGGTGAACACCGGGATGCCCCTCCTTATCTGATATCTTAAACTACTAGCCGTGAGCCCCAAAATTCCCTCGTTTATCGTAAGTACCTGTCTGACGTCCTCGTTGGCGTGGATCTGGAACGAGGTGTACTTCTGCATGGCGCCGGTGTAGTACGAGGTCACGTGGCCCTTAAAAGAGGCGTTAGTGAGAGAGCGGGGCACGGGGGCTACTTACGCCTTGGTTTCCCATCCACAGGAGCTCCTCGTAGCGGTCGAAAGCCAGAGCGCTCACGCCGAAGCGGTCGCCCCCGTCCGCCAAGATGCATTGTGTTTGGACGTACTCGGACTGGATTCCCATTAGTTCGGGGACGTCGGGGGGCGGCGCGGCCACTGCAAGCTAGGCAAAGTTCGAGACGCTTAACCTTAAAATGACACAACCTACCCCGCTCTGGTCGAAAAACATGCTTCCAAATTGTGTAAAAATAAAAAGACTAATTAAAAATAACAAGTTTACGAATATTTGTGCTACATATTAACTTAAAAATTACTTTGTACATTTCAAACGGGACTTAGAAAATGACAGATTAAAAATTGGGGATTTTGCGCTGGCAACATCGAGGCGCGAAAGACCCTAGGGGCTCGAATTTAGGCGCGAAGGGAGACACAAAACAATCAGACAGTGTCAATGGGGGTTCTGTTCTAATAATAATAAAACAGATGTCAGATACATTTAAACGATATAAATTTGTCTATAAAAGCTGCTTTTAGTATTTACTTAGGAGTAAACGCATGTGTTTTATTAATCCATACCGTTGTGTTTAATTGACATTTAGCATTGTCAGTTGTCATCGATAAAATTTTAGGTTTACTGTCCACATACTTCTCAATATAAATGTGAACCTTCTATAAATATATCAACTATTTTTAAATCGCCTTAAATTTCAGCTTAATTCTTTTTTCTTTTGTGTTTGAAAAATATTCTGTCAGGATACTTCTTTTTTAACTTCACTTGTACTAGTTTTTCTGGATTTTTTTAAATATCTCCGGTCCAAGGACATATTTCGTCACACTGGTACCTGGAGTGCCTTAATCCCTCGCCTCAAGTCCGGTACAAACTGATAAGCACACCTGTTGTAAACTTTGCACAAACTTTAGCGCTCCGTTTTTAATTCCAATTTTAAAATCCAAGCAAATCAAAACAAACGTCAAACTAAATGAATCAGGAAGTAGACGTGTAATAAGTAAAAAAGTTAAGACAACGGGTGTACAATTAAAAATATATTTGGAGTAAGCGCTGGCATTATTATTTGCCGTTTTTTGATTTGGCTGTTTAAATACAGTCTTTTTGACATATTAATGACATTTTGACTTTTAACTCTAGGTATTTATCAATTTTTCGCGGTTTATTGTTAGGTATTTCATTTTTTGCTTTGTTTGGATGCTAGAAATTAGTTCTTTTCAGAACGAGTGTGAGTTTTGCTGTTGCTGACATTTCCACCAGAATGAGTTTTTCTAAAAATCACAAATGAAATATTTGAAATTTGGCAATTAGGTTAGATTAGAGCTTTGAGCATGCTGCGATAAGATTGATTTTGGCAAATGACATACCTTCTAAGAACACAGAAGGCGGGCTGGTGGGTGGAGCTAGCACTTTTGACTTTGTTAAAAATCTTAGATTCTTCCGCTTGTCAAAATAGAATTCAGCTGCCAGTTCACAATAAATAAAATAAGTAAGTCACATGAGGAAGGAGGTGGGCGGGGCTATTTTCAGGTTTTTCAGTAGACTTATGAACAAACATTAGCCCCGCCTACCCACCCACCGTCATTTCAGTGGTCCATTTGTCTGCTCTGAAGAAAAGGTGGATTTTACACTAAACAGAAATAAAATTAGCCATTAGAATGAGAAAAAGGCGGGTGGGCGGGGTTAATACTTGCTATGATAAAACTGATTTTGGCACATGAAATACCCTCTAAAAAATAGAGGGCGGGTGGGTGGGGCTAGTATCTGCTAAGATAAAATTGACTTTGGCAAATGACATACTCTCGAAAAAAATAGAGGGCGGACGGGTGGGTGGGGCTAGCATTTTCGGGTTTGTTTTATATCTTAGATTCTATCGCTTGTCAAAATAAAATTCAACTCTCATTTCACAATAAATAAAATAAGTTAGTCAAATGAAGAAGGAGGGGGGCGGGGCTATCTTCAGTTTTTTCAATAGAGTTATGAGTTAGCACTAGCCCCGCCCACCCATTCACCTTCATTTCAGAGATTCATTTGTCTACACTGAATGAAAGGTATACTAAATACTAAATACTAAACAGAAATAAAATTAGTTGTTAGAATGTGAAGAAATCGGGTGGGTGGGGTTACTATTTGCTATGATAAAACTGTTTTTGGCACATAACATACCCTCTAAGAAAACAGAGGGCGGGTGGGTGGGGCTAATACCTACTACTATAAGACTGAATTTGACAAATGATATACCTTCTAGGAAGACACAGAGGGCGAGCAGGTGGGTGGAGCTAGCACTTTTGACTTTGTTTTAAATCTTAGATTCTTCCGCTTGTCAAACTAAAATTCAATTCCCATTTCACAATAAATAAAATAAGTTAGTCAAATGACGCAGGATGTGGGAGGGGCTATGTTCCACTTTTTCGATAGACTTATGAGCAAGCACTAGCCCCGCCCATTCACCCACCTTCATTTCAGTGATTCATTTATCTGTTCTGAATGAAAGGTGTATCTAATACTAAACAGAAATAAATTAGTTGTTAGAATGTGAGGAAATCGGGTGGGTGGGGTTAGTACTTTCTATGATAAAACTGATTTTGGCACATGTCATACCCTGTAAGAAAACAGAGGGCGGGTGGGTGGGGATAATACCTGCTACTATAAGACTGAATTTGGCAAATGATATACCTTCTAGGAAGACACAGAGGGCGGGCAGGTGGGTGGAACTAGCACTTTTGACTTTGTTTTAAGTTTCAGATTCTTCCGCTTGTCAAAATAAAATTCAATTCCCATTTCACAGTAAATAAAATAAGTTAGTCAAATGAGGTAGGAGGTGGGCGGAGCTATGTTCCACTGTTTCGATAGACTTATGAGCAAGCACTAGCCCCGCCCACCCACCCACCTTCATTTCAGAGATTCAGTTATCTGCTCTGAATGAAAAGTGTATCCAATACTAAACAGTAATAAATTAGTTGTTAGAATGTGAGGAAATCGGGTGGGTGGGGTTAGTACTTTCTATGATAAAACTGATTTTGGCACATGTCATACCCTGTAAGAAAACAGAGGGCGGGTGGGTGGGGCTAATACTTGCCACTATAAGACTGAATTTGGCAAATGATATACCTTCTAGGAAGACACAGAGGGCGGGCAGTAGGGTGGAGCTAGCACTTTTGACTTTGTTTTAAATTTTAGATTCTTCCGCTTGTCAAAATAAAATTCAATTCCCATTTCACACTAAATAAAATAAGTTAGTCAAATGAGGCAGGAGGTGGGCGGGGCTATGTTCCACTTTTTCGATAGACTTATGAGCAAGCACTGGCCCCGCCCACCCACCCACCTTTATTTCAGTGATTCATTTATCTGCTCTGAATGGATGGTGTATCTAATACTAAACAGAAATAAAATTAGTTGTTAGAATGTGAAGAAATCGGGTGGGTGGGATTATCTGCGAACATTGGCTAAACGAAGCGGAAGTGGACAACCTTTCTATCGAAAATATGCACGTAGCATCCAGTTTTTGCCGTAAGTTGAGTAATTATGGAGGTTCCCTCTTATTTGCAGCACATAATTTACAATATACTACTCTACATAATCTGGAAAATATGTCTATTGAAAATCATTGTGAAATCTCAGCATCACTAGTCAACACTTGCAAACTTATTGTTATAAATATATACCGGCCGCCATCTGGTGATTTTAATCTGTTTTGTGAAATTATTGTTGGTGTACTGGATACAATAGATGTAGTCAAAAACAATGTTATCCTAAGTGGAGATTTTAACATACATTTTAACACTAATAGCATGCTAGAACTAAAACTTTGTAACACCTTAACTGAATTTGGCTTGTATCCCATCGTAAAATTCGCGACCAGGGGCAATAATACTCTTGACAACATTTTTACCAACATTCACACTCTAAGCTATAGTGTAAAACCGTTCAATAGCCTAATGTCTGATCATTTAGGTATAGACTTCAAATTAACTGTATCTGACGCTAAGAACAAACATGTTGCTTATAAGTGCCGCCCGATTACTAAACTAGGCAAGTGCAAATTATACAACAATATAAGTAAAGCTGACTGGTACTTTGTTGACGATAAAACCCTTGATATCAATACTAAGTTTACATTGTTTATAAAGGAAATTATCGACAACATGAATCTTGCCTTCCCAGAAAAAATCCTGAAACAAACCAACCATAGCAAAATGGACATTAAGTGGTTTGATGACGAATTGCGAAAAATACGCGAAGAATTATCATTTCTTGACGAGTTTCATAAAATTGTTCAAACGGACGTGACTAGAAAGGCTAGAAATAAATGTCGACACCTTTATCAAGAAACAATTAAAATAAAAAAAGTGAACTACACCAAGAGTTTTATAGATAAATCGAATAATAAAAGTAAAGCAATTTGGCAAGTAATAAATAACAACCGAAATAAAAATTCATTGATAGGTAGTGCGGCAAACTGTGAAATTTCAAATGACGATTTCAACAAGTTCTTTACTAATATCGGGCCAAATTCAATAAAAACACTTCCTATATCTACTCAAGATCCCATTGACTTAATTATTAAGAACTGCAACATGCACTGTAATAATTCTAAATATTTTAATTTCTCAGAAGTCTCCAGTGTAGCTGTTAGAGACACCATTAGCAAACTAAAAAATAGCAATTCAAAAGATTGTTATAACATAAGCGTCAATATTATTAAATCTATGAAAGACACCATCATTTCACCAATAACTAGATTAATAAATGAATGCATAAGGACCACAACATTCCCAGACTGTCTCAAAATCGCTGCAGTGATACCAGTGCATAAAAAAGGTAATAGAAACGACCCTACTAACTATAGACCGATCTCACTTCTACCAGTCTTCTCTAAGATTCTAGAAAGGATACTTTATGACCAATTGAGTAACTTCCTTGAAGATGGTAATGTTCTCTCCAATAGTCAGTACGGCTTCCGAAAAGGTCGAGATACAACCAAAGCCATTCTTGATCTCACAAGTTTTATCGGAGATTGCCTAGAGCGCGGCAGATATAGCATCGGTTGCTTTTTAGACTTGTCAAAAGCCTTCGATTGCGTCTCCCACTCAGAACTAATAAGAAAGTTATACTGCTACAATTTACATCCTCTCGCTTGCAGCATGATAACATCCTACTTGGTAAATAGGCTTCAGTCAGTAAGACATAATAACAGGGAATCGGAAAAGCTACCAGTGGTACTAGGAGTGCCCCAAGGGTCAGTCCTGGGCCCATTATTATTTCTCATTTATATCAACGATTTTCCCTTCTTTCTAAACACAAAAACTGTACTATTTGCGGATGACACGAACTTATTAACTAATGAAGCTACATTCGCAGAGGCCCTAAATCGCAATGAGGAAACAGAATTGAAGGCAACTCATTGGTTTACAACAAATAAACTAACCCTAAACAAAAATAAAACGGTTAAAGTCGCATTCACTCTAAAAAACACCGGCCCACTACCTACAGACATAGTTAAAGAGACAAACTTTTTAGGGATAACAGTAGACGCAAAAATGAGGTTTCATACACACGGTGAGAACCTAGCTAAGAAAATTTCTACAGGAATATTTGCGTTGAGAAATCTAAGTAGAAAGCTTCCGATAGAGACATTAAAAGTAGCTTATTTTGCATTATGCCATAGTAATATAAGTTATGGTATCTTAGCATGGGGTCACTCAAGCATGATGACGAACATATTTAGATTACAGAGACGGGCAGTCCGAATAGTGGGAAGTCTTGGCTACAGAGATGATTGTAAGCGTATGTTTCAAAAATTAAGAATTCTTACGGTGCCCTGCGTATTCATTTTTAACAGCTTGATCAATCTGAGACTAAATATAAACACATACTCCAAACACAAAGACAACCATGAATACGACACACGACATAAGGAAAACTTATGTCTGAGACACATACGTTTAAAGTCGTCACAGAACAGTACTCAATACTTGGGTATCAAATTTTTCAACAAACTTCCTGAGTCGGTTAGAAAGTTAGATACAGTTAATTTTAAGAAGGTTGTAAAAAACTTTCTGATTAACAAAGCCTACTATAACTATGATCAGTTTCTGAACGACATCAATGTATCCATGCAATAATGTGTATCATGTTCTATATGTTTTCTTTCTTCTGTACAACTTTTCTTGATTTATTACTATCAAACATTGTAAATGATATTTATGTTATCTCTGTATTTTGACGAGTGTAAAATGTGTGTACATTTAAGCACAATGAATTGATTGATTGATTGATTGATTGATAGTACCTGCTATGATAAAACTGATTTTGGTACATGACATACCTCTAAGAAAACAGAGGGCGGGTGGGTGGGGCTAATTCTTGCTACTATAAGACTGAATTTGGCAAATGATATACCTTCTAGGAAGACACAGAGGGCGGGCAGGTGGGTGGAGCTAGCACTTTTAACTTTCTTTTAAATCCTAGATTCTTCCGCTTGTCAAAATAAAATTCAATTCACATTTCACAATAAATAAAATAAGTTAGTCAAATGAGGCAGGAGGTGGGCGGGACGATGTTCAACTTTTTCGATAGATTTAAGAGCAAGCTGTAGCCCCGCCCAGTGATTCATTTCTGAATGAAAGGTAAGATCTTATACGAAACAGAAATAAGATTAGCCGTTAGAATGAAAAGACCTGGAATGGGCGGGGTTAATACTTGCTATGATAAAAGTGATTTTGGCAGATGACATTCCCTCTAAGCAAATAGAGGGTGGGTGGGTGGGGCTAGGGCCTGCTAGGGTAAGACTGAATTTCGCAAATCTTAGATTCTTCCGCTTGTCAAAATAGAATTGCATTCTCATTTGACAATAAATAAAATAATTTAGTCATATGAGGAAGGTGTTTTACAAATTAATTTTCGTTATGCAACCAACAATACGTTACTGGTCAATTTGAATTATATTTCATTAAAATATAGTACAGGAACTGGACACCCATTTTCAAATCAGTAGGAAAAGAATCTGATAAATGTTCTTCCTAATTTGATTTTCTAATAAACCTATAAAACTACTCCAATGAGTGTGTTTACCACCGATATTTCCCGAAACATTAATTGACATTTTTTATGTTGGCAACGTCCAGGAGTCATTGTCAGTTTCAATATTTGAGGATTTGAGGTTATGGTGAAAGTTTTGGCAAGAGTATTTTCCGCAATTGCCAGTATTTCGAGGGAGTATGAGTCTTCAAGACTCATTTTGAACGAAATTTATTCTGATTCAGAAATGTCAATTTTAGTCAACATGATAAAAAAATTAAATGACACTCGAAATCCAAATGAAAACGTTACGGATTAAACATCAAGAGGAGTTGTCGTTTAAAATACTTAAGGTTATTGAAGGTCCACTTGACTTTTCAATAACCAATAACATAAAAAAACTAGACAAAGTAAGATAGTAGTAACTTTCGTGTTCTTTGAGTGGCACTATCGTGCGTATCAGGAGACGGGTCAGGAGTGCCATCATAACACAAAACTCTTCCTCATTGGATGAATTTGTGTGTTACGCGGTACGTAACTAAATGAAGTGACCACTAATGGTTATTTACGTTTATTCATGTAAATTTCGCATGAGTCACAAAAAAATTGATAACCCAGTTAAAGAATAATAAATAAAGTCCATATTAAAATGGAGGCTTATGAACTTAAAAAAAGTATAACTAATCTAAAAACAATACAAAAGATTATGTTACCATAAATATATGACATAAATGACACCACTAATGCTACTGGCAGTATGAATGAAACGTGAGATTGCCGCGTGAACTTACAACTAGTTGGTTTTCGATTAAAAAGTAACTAGAGTCACACTAAACTTAAGAAAATGGTGGAGGACCGCGTAATCTATAAGAAAGGGGATGCGGGATACAATACTAAATAATCAAAAATAAAAAGGGCTCAGTCCTCCAACACGAAAAAATATATCACAAAGAAACTATCACAAACAATTATAACCTGGGCCTTTCAAAGATTGACCGTCGATAAATCTTTGAAAGTTTCGGTTCGATGGGGGTATTATATAATAAGTTGTCCGTTGGTTACACCAAACTGAAGACTTTATCATGCTTACATAGGTTGCTATTATGATAATAATGAATACAAAAATATGTGTAGTATTACATCGTATTACAAACTATTATTTGTTTATTGTGGTTATCATAGATTTTAGAGAGCAGTTTATCCAAAATTGTAGGTTCGTAACATCGGTACTGAGATCAACTTCACTGAGCGTCGTCTTGAAAACCAGGGGCGTCTTCAAGTGTAATTTGGCGACCTACAATTTCGTTGCCTGCCCGAAGAATAGAAAACAAACGAAAACGAACACCTTAACTCTAGTTACGGTTAGAAAACCATGTGATACACGAATTATATAAATAAATTATTTCTAAATATGCACTCGCTATCAGTTTCTTTCATATAAAAAATGGCGCAGAATACGAGGCCGCCATCTTGGCGAAAGTCCCAGTGATAGCAGTGCACAGTGCCGCATTGGAGCACGAATTCATTCGTTACCACAGATTCATTACCACAGACACAGTTCATCTACCACAGAATGCTTTCAAAAGAGCTGAATTGTCGTGTAGTGAAGATGAAGAAGTTCCACTCTTGAGTTGAAGTTTGAAATTTTTTTTTTAAGAAAAACCGTGATTTGTTCAAGTGCCCATCTCATCCACCAACCAACCTCTCAAACATCCAGAATTGACATCAATTAAATTTACTCCTCGGCATGGTCCGACGTCACCAACTGCTAAAACGAACGAACTAACGAACGAAAACCATTCTGGCGCAAGGCGTGTTTGAAGAACCGAAAAGACACGAGATGGCGAAACCAATTTTCATTTGTAAAAATCGTCCGGAACAAGCACGAAACGAACCTAGGTCCAGTCGAGAAAACAGAAATTATTTCGTGACAGTCCTTTGTTTGTTTGCATAATGTATGTTTTGAGTGCGGCTTGCTTCAAAAAGGTCAGTCCCATCCGTTTTCTTTGATCATATGTGCTAGTTCGATGATGAATTTGCCTTCTTTGTATTTCTGGCTGGACTCGAAAGCGTGTTCCTTTAACAAAAAAATTAAATTAGAGAGTGTTACACAAAAATAACACGGCGTATCGATCCGGTTCGGCTCCGGCCGGCTAGATTTGCCAGGGCCGCACTAGCGCCGGCCAAGACCCTTCCTCGGAGGCCGACGACGACGGCTCGGTTGCTCCGATTTTGCGAGCGAATTTGTTCTCTAAATAAATATTACTTAGGGGCGGCGATTTGCTAAAACAATCGTCCAAAATTGGGCGAAGGTTGTTCAGAACTTCCCTCGCCCCTGAAGGCTAGCACAACAAAACGAGTGGCGTAAATAATACTCCCGTAAACCGCGCTAATTCCAGGGGGACGCAGTCCGCTAAACTGCGGACAATATGAAATACATATATTTATAATAGATAACCACCGAGAAAAAAAATCGAAAAACTGAAAAATCGAAATCCGAAATGTCGAAAAATCGAAGCAAAAAATATCGATAAACTGAGAATAAAAAAAACTGAAAATAAAAAGTTACAATTTTAAAAATTAAAAAATTTAAATATCGAAAAATGGAAGACAGGAAAAATTGAAAATCGAGAAATCAAGGAAAAATCGGACGGCCAAAAAGTCGAAGAATCGAAAAACCGAGAAATCGAAACATCGAAAAGTCGAGAAATCGAAAATTTGAAGAATCGACAAATTAACGAACCGAAAAATCGAAAATCCTAATACTGAAATATCGAAAAATTGGGTAACTGAAAAGATGAAAATCAGAAATTGAAAATTTGAAAAACTGGGCAATTGAAAAATCGAAAAATTGAAGAATGGAAATTCTGCGAAATTGGAAAATCGAAAAGTTGAAAGGCCGAAAACCGAGAAACCGAAACATCAAAACATCGAGAAGTTGAAAAATCGAGGTATCAAAAAATCGAAAAATTGAAAAATCCAAAAATCGACAAAAATTAACCGAAAAATCGAGCTGTCAAGAAATCGAAAAATTGAAAAACTGAAATGACGAAACATTGGGAAAGTTAAAAACTGAAAAATTCTTGACTTTGCAGAATCGAGAAATGAGAGAATCGGAAACTTGAAACATCCCAAAACTAAAATATCGAAAAATCGAAACGCCAACAAATCGAGAAAACGAAAATTAAAAATTTCAAAAATTGGAAAACTGAAGAATCGAAATTTTGAAAAATTAGAACATCGAAAAGTTGAAAGGTCGAAAAATTGAGGAATGAAAAAATTGCGAATCGAGAAATCGAAGAATCGAAAACACAAAAATTTAAAAAAACGAAAAACTGAAAAATTGGAAATTGAAGAATCGAAAAACACAAAAATCGTGAAACACTGGGAAATCGATAAATCGAACAGCCGAAAAGTCGAAAAATTGAGAAATCAAGATAGCCCAAAATCCAAAAATTGAAAAATCGGAAAGTTGAGTAATCAAAATATTGAAAAATCGGAAAAGTTAAAAACCGAAAAATTCTGGACTTAAATTTTAAAAATCGAAAAATTACAAAACCGAGAAGTCGAAAAATCGAAGGATCGAGAAATCGAAGCATCAAAAAAGTGAAAAAAACAGGAATATCGGAAAATTGAGAAATCGAAAAATTGAACGTTTGAGAAATTGAACAATTGAAAAACCGAGAAACTGAAAAAACAAAAAATCGAAACGCCAAGAAATCGAGAAAACGAAAATTCAAAATTTAAAAAATCGAAAATTTGAAAAATCGAATTTTGAAAAATTGGAAAAACGAAAAGGTGAAAGGTCCAAAAATCGAAAAGCCTAGAGATTGAAAAATCATAAGATCGAGAAATCGAAATAGAGAAGTTAAAACTTAATCGAAAATCAAAAAACCGAAGAAAAAAAATCAAATCGAACATTTTGAGAATTAAAAAAATTGGAAAATAGAAGAATCGAAAAACTGTAAAATTCTAAAACGGAAATAACACAAAAATTGGGAAACCGAAAAATTGAAAAATCGAAAAGTCGAAAAACCGAGAAATCGAACATTTCGAGAATTTAAAAAATTGGAAAATTGAAGAACCGAAGGACTGTAAAATTCCAAAACGAAAATAACAAAAATTGGGAAACCGAAAAATTAAAAAAATGAAAAGTCGAAAGATCAAAAAACCGAGAATTCGAAATATCACAAAATTCAAAAACTGGAACATCGAGAAATGGAAACAGGCCAAAATGGAAAAATCGAAAAGTTAAAAATTGAAAAAATGAAATATTCAAATTAAAAAAAAAACGATAAATCAAAAAAAATGAACAATAAAAAAATCGAGAAAATTTACAATAAAAAAATCGAAACATTGAAATTTCGATAGAGCGAGAAATCAAAAAAACGAAAAATCGAAAAATTTAAAAAAAGAAAGATCGAGAAATCGGAACACCAAAAAACTGAAAAATTGTAAATTTAAAATTTGAAAAATAGAAAAATCGGAAAATTGAAGACTCGAACATTGAAAAATTGGAAAATCGAAAAGTTGAACGTTCAAAAAATCGACAGACACATCGGAAATTTCAAAAACATGAAAAAATCGAAATATCAAAAGATCTAGAAACCGAAATTTGAAAGTTAAAATTTGAAATACAGGAAAATTAAAATATCAAAAAATTGAATAACGGAAAAATTGAGAAAGCGAAATATAAACAACCCAAGAAAACAATTCAAAAATCTAAAACTTAAAAATCAAAAAATGAAAAAACCGAGAAGTAGAGAAATCGAAAATCCAAAATTTAAAAAATCGGAAAATTGAAGTATCGAAAAACGGAAAAATTCCAAAACTGAAATGACAAAAAACTGGGAAAACCAAAAATTGAAAAATCGGAACATCGAAAGAGAAACATTGAGAAATCGATAAAGTGAAAAATCAAAATTTCGAAAAATTGAAACATCGTAAAATTGAAACTTCGGAAAATTGAGAAATAGAAAAATGAAAAAATGGAAAAAGGAAACTGCAAATTTGAAGAATCGAGAAATACAAGATTTGAAAAATCTAACATTTAAATATCGAAAAATTAAGAAATCGAAAAATCCAGAAGTTGAACAATCGAAAAACTGCAAAACTGAAAAATTTAAAAATCGAAAATAAAATTTTAAAAATCGAAAAAGTCCAAAATCCAAGAATTCAAAAATCTAAAACCGAGAAGTCGAACAATCAGAAGATCGGGACATTGAAACTTAAAAAAACCGAAAAATCGAAAATTTAAAAACTCGAAAAGTGAGAAATCTAAAATTTTAAAAAGTAAAAAATCAAAATTTCGAACAATTGAAACACCGAAAAATCGTAAAATTGAAAACTCGGATAATTGACAAATCGAAATATGAAACAATCGAGAAAGGAAATTGAAAATTTGAGGAATCGAGAATTTGAAGAATTGAAAAACCAAAAACTTCAACCATTACATATTGAAAAATCAAAAAATCGAAGAAAAAAAATCGAAAAGTCGAAAAGACAAAAAATCGAGAAATAGAGAAATCGAAAATCCTAAATTTAGAAAATGGCAACACTGAAGAATCGAAAAACAGAAAAATCCCAAAACTGAAAAAAAATTTTAAAAAGTGAAAAATCAAAATTTCGGAAAACTGAAAAATCGTAATGTTGAAACTTCGGATAATTGAGAAATCGAAAAATTGAAAAACTAAAAAATTCAACAATTAAATATTGAAAAATCAAAAAACTGAAGAAAAAAATTCAAAAATCTAAAATTTAAAAATCGAAAAGTCGAGAAATCAAAAAAATCGAGAAATAGAAAAATTGAAAATCCTAAATTTAAAAAATCGCAACACTGAAGAATCGAAAAACAGAAAACTCCCAAAACTGAAAAGACAAAAAACTGGGAAACCAAAAAATTGAAAAATTGGAAAATCCAAAAATCCAAAAATTAAAAAAAATATCGAGAAATCCAAACATCAAGAGAAACATCGAGAAATTGGTAAATTGACAAATCGAGATCGGCCAAAATGGAAAAATCGAAAAATTAAAAATTGAAAAATTCAAAATAAAAAAAGAATAAATCGAAAAATCGAGATACTGAAGAATCGAAAAACTGAAAAATTGAAAAATTTAGAAACCGAAAATAAGATTTGAAAAACCGAAAAATTGCAAAATCCAAAAATTGAAAAATCAAAAAATCTAAAACCGAGAAGTCGAAAAATCGGAAGATCGAAAATTTAGTAACTCGAAAAGTGAAAAATTTAGAATTTTAGAAAGTGAAAAATCAAAATTTTGGAAAACAGAAACAGAAAAATTGTAGAATTGAAACTTCGGATAATTGAGAAATCGAAAAATGAAACAAAGGAGAAACTAAAAAATTCAACAATTAAATATTGAAAAATCAAAAAATCTAAGAAAAAAATTCAAAAATCTAAAATTTAAAAACCGAAAAGTCGAAAAATCAAAAAATAGAGAAATCGAAAATCCCAAATTTAAAAAATCGCGACACTGAAGATTCGAAAAACAGAAAACTCCCAAAACTGAAAAGACCAAAAACTGGGAAACCAAAAGATTGAAAAATTGGAAAATCGAAAAATCCAAAATTTAAAAAAATGAAACATCGAGAAATCGAAATATCAAGAGAAACATCGAAAAATCGGTAAATTGTAAAATCGACATCGGCCAAAATGGAAAAATCTAAAAATTCAAAATTGAAAAATTTAACATAAAAATGGTATAAATCGAAAAATCGAGAAATTGAAGAATCGAAAAACTGAAAAATTGCAAAATCCAAAAATCGAGAATCTAAAATCCAGAAGTCGAAAAATCGAAAGTTAAAAAACTCGAAAAGTGAGAAATCCAAAATTTTAAAAAGTAAAAAATCAAGAAAGGAAACTGAAAATGTGAAGAATGGAGAAATCGAAGAATTGAAAAATCCAACATTTAAATATCGAAGAATCGAATCGAAAAACAGAAAAATTCCAAAATTGAAATGACGAAAAATTGGGAAACCGAAAAAGTGAAAAATTGGAAAATCGAAAAATCCAAAAAATGAAATATCGAGAAATAGAACATCAAAAGAGAAACATCGATTAATCGAAATAATCCAGAAGTTAAAAATTGCAAAATTGAAAATTGAAAAACGGATCCTAAATTGAAAAATCGAAGACTGAACAATCGAACAGCTAAAAAGTGAAAAATTTCAAAACTGAAAATAAAATGTTAAAAATAAAAAAAATGCAAAATCCAAAAATCCAAAAATCGAAAAATCTAAAACCCAGAAGACGAAAAATCGGAAAATCGGGAAATAGAAATTTCAAAAAATCTAAAATTTTAAAAAGTGAAAAAACAAAATTAAGAAATCGAAAAATTGATGATACGAGAAACAGAAAAATCGAGAAACTGAAATGACGAAAAATTGGAAAATCGAAACACCGAAAAATCGAAACATCAAAAATGGAGACATTGAGAAATCGAAAAGTTGAAAACTGAGAAATTGAAAAATTTTAATTAAAAAAAATCGATAAATCGAAAAAATTAAAAATCGAAATATCAAAAAACAGAAATTGAAAATCGGGAGATTGAAACATTAAAAACCTGGAAAATCCCAAAACTGAAATACTGAAAAACTGAGAAATCGAAAGTCGAAAATTCGAGAAATCGAAAAGTCGAAAAATTGTTATATCTGAAATTTTGAGTTTTTCCATTTACTATTGTAAAATTTGGGTAAATGACTTCATTCTATTGTTGGTGGATTAGCGTTTTACCGTGATATTACTAACGTACATTAGACGGAAACGGGCGACCTATTTTTGTACTCTTGGGGTCATGAAACATCGAGAAAACGTACAAGTAGCAGTCGCCCGATGAGCTCGACTAAATAACAATTCGAACACAAAATTTGTACACGTCATTCTACCAAAATAAACGAGCTATAAGACAACGCCAGAAAGACCTCAATTAGACTAATGGAAAAATAAATCAATTCGAACAAATAAAACGTCTGCTCCTGTTTCCCTCAAAAGAAACTTTTAATTAGACTTCGACAATAAATCACCACTGACAAATCTTTCAAATTGTAAACATAATTAGATTCCAAAGGACATTACTCGTTCAATTGTAAAGATTTAGTCAACGAATGTTCATCTGTACACCACTCAAAAGATTGTTGTAGCAGCTATGGCCACGCTTTCTTTACAAACTGCCGGACCGTTTACTTACATATTTCCAGCCCAGCGTAGTCTTGCAGCATTCACAGTAGATATCGGCGACGGCGTGAAGCCCAGTCAAGAGAACTCTTTCCTCCGCAGGCCCGCAGCCCACGTTCACTCTACGAAAACACACAAAAAAATTAAGCCGAAAATTAATTAGGTTCGGTTATCTGAGCGTAAACAACGCCTCGGTGGAATACATTACGAACTAACTTTATCTCATTGTTACAGACAAAAGTCCCAATAAACGTCGAGTACAGCACGATGGGAAATTATTCATGCTGCGGAGGAATTATCATACAATAAATATTGAATTCACTTGTCCGCTATTGACTATTTCGGCGTGTGTGCCGCTATTTATAGAAGAACCCTGACGATGCGTTGATAAAGCGCAATTAAACTAGTCGCTGTTATCTGACTTGACCTGCCACGATTTTTAACTGCTTTATGACGGCAACACTTCATTATACACTTTTCGAACTTCGATTAATTGGCCAAGTTCGGGGTTTCGGTTGGGCTTCTTCGGTAAATAGGAGATCCTTCGGCTGCTAAAAATAACGCCGGCGTGCGGAATAAATTACCGAAGGGCGCGGTTTTTTGTCTGGAAGTGTTGTGTGTTTTGAATTCGCGAAAAATTATACAGTTACTGATTTATTTGTTTTTATTGCGGCGCTTAGTTGAATAGAAAATGAGGATCGGGGTGAACTTGAAAGACGTCAAACAAAGAAAGTTTGGGTAGTTATTTTTAACTCGGGTTTTAGTCATTTACTTAGTCATGTTTTGTACTATATGGAAAAAAAATGGGCGAATTCTGTTTATGTGGAAGTCTGTGGTCATCAATTTATTGTTAGGTACGTTTGTTAGTGCGCCAACTAAGTAACAATGCGTTGTTGGTTCGAAGTTGGCCTATAGAAATGGTGTTGTGCCACATAGAACATAATTTGTAATCGAGATATCCTTGGCATTTAATGCGTATGTCGTCTCTGAAATAGTAGGTTTAACGCTGCGTATATACAAGTTTTCTGAATTGTAATCCTGAGAAACTCTACGATGAAATGAATCGATTCTAAAATCTGAAAATCAAAAATTCAAAAAAACGAAAAGTGGAAAAATCGAAAAACAGAAAAATCGGAAATCGAAAAATTCTTGACAAAAATTTTAAAAATCGAAAATTGGAAAAATCGGAAAATTGAAGAATCGAAATTTTGAAAAATAGAAAAATCGAAAAGTTATTTAAATAATAATAAATTTAAAAAACCGGAAAATTGAAGAATTGAGAAACTGTAAAATTCCAAAACGAAAATAACGAAAAACCAGGAAACCGAAAAATCGAAAAACCGAAAAATTCAAAAACTGAAACATCGAGAAAACGAAACAAGTTAAAATAGAAAAATCGAAAAAATGAAATATTATAATTGAAAAAAAACGATAAATCAAAAAACTGAGAAACTTAACAATCAAAAAATCGAAAAATTTAAAACTTGAAGTCGAAAAATCGAAAGATCGAGAAATCGGAACATCAAAAAATCGGAAAATTAAAACATCAAAAAACTGAAATCAAGAAAAAACCGAAGAAAAAAATTCAAATTCTTACAATTATGCTTAAAAAATTGAAAAATCGAAAAGTTGAAAGGTCGAAGACCGAGAAACTGAAGAAGCGAATTATCTCGAGAAATCCAAACATAAAAAAAAACGTTGAAAAAAATTAAAAAATCTAAAATTTGAAAATCGAAAAATTCAAAAAATGAAAAGTGGAAAATCGAAAAATGAAAAAATCGGGAAATCGAAATTTGAAGAATCGAGAAATTGAAGAATCGAAACTTTGAAAACTTGGAAAATCTATAAATTCAAAGGTCCAATAATCGAAAAACCGAAAAATCGAAAAGTTAAAACTTGAAAAATCGAAAAATTTAAATATCGAAAAATTGAAGAATGGAAAAACTGCAAATCGAGAAATCGAAGAATCGAAACCTAAAAATTTAAAAAAAACGAAAAACTGAAAAATAGGAAAGTGAAGAATCGAAAAACACAAAAATGAAATGACGAAACATTGGGAAATCGAAAAACTGAAAAATCGAAAGACTGGGAATTTGAAACATCAAAAAATTGAAAAATCGGAAAATTGAAGAATTGAACATTGAAAAATTGGAAAATCGAAAAGTTAAAACTTGAAAAATAGGAAAATTAAAATATCAAAAAACTGAAATCAAGAAAAAACCGAAGAAAAAAATTCAAATTCTTAAAATTATGCTTCAAAATTGAAAGCGAATTATTAAAAGATCGAGAAATCCAAATATAAAAAAAAACGTTGAAAAAAATTCAAAAATCTAAAATTTGAAAATCGAAAAATTCAAAAAATGAATGCAAAAATCGAAAAACAGAAAAATCTCAAAACTGAAATGACGAAAAACTGAAAATCGAAAAATGAAAAAATCGATTTAAACTTGAAGAATCGAGAAATTGAAGAATCAAAACTTTGAAAACTCGGAAAATCGATAAATTCAAAGGTCGAATAATCGAAAAACCGAAAAATCGAAATGTTAAAACTTGAAAAATTGAAAAATCGAAATATCAAAAAACCGAAGAAAAAATTCAAAAATTTAAAATTGGAAAATCGAAAAATACAAAAATCGGAAAGTCATACAAACCATACAAAAATGAAAGATTAAAAAAATACATAAACCAAAAAATCCAGAAATTGGCCAAAAAAAAAAATTGAAAAATGGAAAAATTAACACTTTAAAATTGAACGATCGGGAAATCGGAACATCAAAAAAATGAAAAATCGGAAATTTAAATATCCGAAAAATTGGAAAATCGGAAAATTGAAGAATCGAACATTGAAAAATGCGAAAATCGAAAAGTTGAAAGTTCCAAAAATCGAAACACCAAGAAACCGAATGAGCGAAACTTTGAAAATTTCGAAAAATTGAAAAATCGTATAATTGAACAATAAAAAACCCTGAACATCCCAAAACTTAAATATCGATAAAAAATTGATTAAAGAGTCGAAAAATCGAAAAAAAAAGAAATAGAGAAAACGAAAATCCAAAATTTATAAAAATCGAAAAATTGGGAAATTGGAGAATCGAAGTAGAAACATTGGAAAATCGAAAAGTTGTAAGGTGGAAAAACCGAAAAACCAAGAAACCGTAAAAGCGAAACATCAAGACATCGAGAAATCGAAAAGTGAAAAATTGAAATATTAAAATTAAAAACAAACGATAAATCAAAAAACTGAGAAACTTAACAACCAAAAAATCGAAACATTGAAATTTCGATAAAGCAAGAAATCGAAAAAACGAAAAATCAAAAAATTTAAAACATCAAAAAATTGAAAAATCAGAAAATTGAAGAATCGAACATTGAAAAATTGTAAAATCGAAAAGCTAAAACTTGAAAAATAGGAAAATTAAAATATCAAAAATTGAAATCAAGAAAAAAACCGATGAAAAAATTAAATTCTTAAAATTATGCTTGGAAAATTGAAAAATCGAAAAGTTGAAAGGTCGAAAGCCGAGAAACTGAAGAAGCGAATTATCAAAAGATCGAGAAATCCAAATATAAAAAAACGTTGAAAAAAAATTAAAAAATCTAAAATTTGAAAATCAAAAAATTCAAAAACTGTAACATAAAAAATCAAAATGGGCCAAAATGAAAAAATCAAAAAGTTAAAATAAAAATTGAAAAATTTAAATTAAAAACAAAAGATAAATCAAAAAAGCGAGAATTGAACAAAGAATAGAAAAATTAAAATTTAAAAATCGAAAAATCTAAAATCAAGAAGTCGAAAGATCGAGAAATCGGAACATGGAAAAACTGAAAAGTCGGACAATTAAAGAATCGAACATTGAAAAATCGGAAAATTGAAACTTTCAAATATTGAAACATTGAGAAATTGGCCAAAATCGAAAAGTTAAACCTTGAAAATTGAAAAATTAAATATCGAAAAATTGAGAAATCGAAATATCCAAAATCAAGAAAAAAATTCCAAAATCTGAAATTTAAAAATCGAAAAATCCAAAATCGAAAAACAGAAAAATCCCAAAACTGAAATCACGAAAAACAGGGAAATCGAAACATCAAGAGAAACATCGAGAAATCGAAATAGGCCAAAATGGAAGAATCAAAAAGTTAAAAATTAAACAAACAAATAATGGATAAATTAGAACCGAGAAGTCGAAAAATCGAATGATCGGGAAATCGGGACACTGAAAAATCTGAATTTAAAAGTTCGACAAAAATTAAAAAATTGGAAAATAGAAGAATCAAACATTGATAAATTGTAAAATAAAAAAATTCGAAAATTGAAAAAGTTGGAACTTGACAATTGAAAAATTAAAATATCGAAAACATTGAGAAATCGAAATATCAAAAAACAAAAAAAAAAAAAAATCAAAAATCTGAAATTTAAAAATCGAAAAACCGAGATATCCAAAATCCAAAATTTAAAAAATCAGATAATTGAAGAATCGAAAAACAGAAAAATCTCAAAACTGAAATCACGAAAAACAGGGAAACCGAAATATCAAGAGAAACATCGAGAAATCGAAATAGGCCAAAATGGAAAAATCGAAAAGATAAAAATTGAAAAAATTTAAAACAAAAATTTATAATTAAAGAACGATAAAGCGAAAAATCTAGAAATCGAACAATCACAAAATCGAAAATTCGAAACATCGAAAAATCCCAAAAATAAAATCACGAAAAACGGGAAAACCGAAAAAGTTTACGTTTTTGGCAGTTTTAAAATTCGGCTAAAAAAACTTGAGCGAATCCACGATTTTCTCAGTTATTTGTGGACATACAGAAAAGTAACCACAAACTCGTGAAACTTAGAAACTTTGCGATGAAATAAGACAATTCTCGTACTTTATTTTAAATTACAATAGAAGTCAAACCTTGTACTATTCATCCACCTCGACATTTATAACGCATTTTTAACTATCATATAAAAAATAACAAAGTATATTGCACATATTCATCCTAACCTCAAAATGTCTTCATAGCGCTTTTAACAGTCCCAGTTTTACTCGAAAAACTCAAAATTAGACTACCAAGTCCCAAGGAAAAATGATTACGATCTGCCTATCTAAAATTTAGCCGTTTTCGCGGTCGT